AATCCAGCGGGCTGGAGAATCGTCGTCCGAAGTGTATCCGCGATCATGTATACCTCAAGCTTGTGCAGGATCGATGGTAACAACAAGGCCAGAATGGCGTATCTGGTCGGAAGAGTTTCAACAAGACATGATGAAGCTAGTAGACTCTCTACTTTGGTATACGCTTCACTCTTGTTTGCGTTCTCAAATACCGCATGTAAAAAGTCTCGACGTTTAGGCAAACGCACAACTTGTATCAGGGTTTCGTCAACGCCTGTCAGGTCTGGGGACTCTGGAAGCTCGATAGACATAGGCATGAATTTCCGGAGGTCTCCTTGCAAGGAAGTCAGACCCCAGTTCGATATGTCCAGGTTTCCTTGAGCCAGGATTTTGGATGCTGGGCGCTGGCCTTCCGTTGTCGCATTCCATTCGTGTAGCTCGTTCTCTGTCATCATATATCCCGATGAGTCGCATGGAGCAAGTAGGCAGAGAAAGTCGTCGACCCCTTTGATGATGTGTGCTCCGAAAACTGAGCGCAAAATCTTCCAAGTGATGGAGCGTAACAGATCAATGTCGATGTCGACCAAAGATGTACCGTAAAGAGCGGAGGTTGTAGCAGTGTACTGCTTCGATTCGTTCCAATGTAGTAAGATATTAGGAATCTCATGCATGGGAGCTGGTGTTAGTAGTATTATGCGCATCGGTTCCTCCCCTGGCGCCTTCACCTCAAGCAAGGTGCGGTACCATAAGTCAGGTTCGCATTCGTGAGATTGCGCAACCACCGCCCACGGATCGAGAGTTTGAGAAACAGGTACAAGGGATGGGCGATCGTCGGGAATCTGGTATTGGGCCGCATTGTCGTCTCCCTCTTCTTGGACGGGGAGGAGATTCTCGTTTACCAACCCGTGCAGGTAAAGAGCCTTGTATGCCTCAAAGGCGGCGTCTTTCTGAGCCATTCGCTCGGTGCTCCACGACTGCAGACTCTTAGCTTTCCTTACAGTAGGGTCGACAGAAATTGGTAGCGTAATGGTAGCAGTGATCCGCCCCAGGGTGTTGGTAAAGTCGATTTCGGGTCGCGTGTCGACGTAGGCGTTGCCCCCTAAACGCGCGCAGAAGTGGTAGAGATGTTGAGCCGCGTTTTCCAGAGTCAACAATGCACTAGTGTCTCCAGTAAGTGAAGGCCAATTGGGCAAGGTACGAAAGCAAACGCTGCTAGTAAAGGCTTCTCACTCACCCGGTACTTGGGACATTGAAGTAGCGCTCACCCACTTCGTCGTTCTGCTCTGCCTCCTGAGCCACCTGAACTTTGCGCTTATCGTCTTCATACGCTCTCCTCATCTCAGCCTCAAGCCCTTGCCACGATGTTAAAGATCGTGCTTCGCCAGTATCTGGGACGAGGATGAAGTAACGCGACTCCTGTCGCCTCGCTCTTCCGCGTCGCTGAACAAAGCTTTTCAGATTCTTGGGTCTTTCGAAGCATACCACGAGATGGCAACTAGATACGTCGACACCTTCTTCAAGAACCGTTGTAGCCAAAACGAGGTTAATTGCCCCAGCACGGAAGTCGTCGAGCGTGGTTTGCTGATTTGTTGGTTCTGCCAGAGCGCAGACGTTTGTTTTGCGCTTGCTTGTCTGCGATGTACCGACGAATGTCCCTACTCGCAACAGATCTTTGGTTCGTGGATGACATGCTAAAATTTCAGCAATTGATGCTACCCAGACTCGCTGCTCAATGAATACAAGACCGGTAAAACCTGGGGTACCATTGGCTTCAGCGACCAGAGTATCGATAAGCTTTTCAACTTTGTTGGACATCTTCTCGATGATGGTAGCAGGTGAAGGTGCAGGATTCTGAAGGGGAAGGCCTTCGAATATGCTCAGGAGATGTTGTCGCTCATTGTTGGTCAAATCCAGTAGCTGCTGATCTGACCCGCGAGTTGTCTTTTCGAATTTGCCGATGCATTGATGTACGTAGTACTCCATTGCTGAGATTCCGAGCTCGTCTGCCATGGCTTCAGCTTTAGACACCAGCTGTTTCAACTGGTCGAGGCAATAAGTCTTATTGCGGTTCCACAGCTTGTTCAGCTGGCGAGAGACATCGAAGCCATGCTTTTGTTGGTTCAATAATGCGACGACGTACGGGTCCTTTGCAAAATCATATGTGCGTAAAGCATGCTGCAACGCGAGAAGTAGTTGAGAATGCTGTTGCCCTGGGACGTTCGACGCGTAGTTGACCTGAAGCAACTCCGGTCTATGAACATGCCGTATGAGTTCGGACCTGTGAAGCTTTGGTGTTCTTACGGTGGCGTGCAGATTCCGCTCTATCTCCCTAAAAATATCAGAATAGTGTTCGCGTCCGAACAAGCCAAACTTACTGGAGACCCTGCTCGCTGGCTGCTGCTTTCATAACAGGGCTCGCACTCAGCCCAAGAACTTTAGGCAGAGACTTGCCACCATTATTCAATTGAGACATATAGAAATTGGACATGATCAGATTTGCTGGGTGCTTCAAAGTACAGTGATGCGCTACAGAATGTTAGCGGGGCCTTGTCTTGTCAACGCAAACAGACTGGCCTTCGTCAAAAATCAACAAAGCCAGCTTGCCCAGCTTAACAAATCCGTGTGTGAGTGCGTCAAGCAATACCCTGAAAGTGCGTTAACGGGCGCGTGTGGCTTCTCTTACGCTCATGCTGTGGACTTACTGGTGTGTTGAAATTACGATGCGGATGTGATCCAAAACGCTGTCCCACTGCGCCTGAGTGGTCCAGAGATCAACGTCATCTCTTCCGCAAAGTAATTGGTATCCGAGTCCAGGCAAATGAGACTGGAAGACCTCATGTTGCTGCTCGCATAGTGTAACCGTGGGTGCTAGAAACCAGACGATCTAAAAAGCGTCCCGAATTCGGTGAGATGAAGTTTAGTGTGGGGACTTAGCGGCAGGTATCCGTACCTGGTCGGGCTCGCACGTCTCCAACTCCGCTCGTGTCCGTTCGATGGCTCTGCAGACTTGTCAGTAAGATTCTCTTCTGGCGAAACTCTTCTACCTACATGTGCGTCTTTCCTGAGCCCGTGTCCATGACCACAATGACGTTGCCGTTCATGCTCTCTTCCACCATCTCAGCCTGATAGCCTCGCAGTTGGAACGCCTCACTGGGCACAGCAGGAGGGTCTTCAGCATCGTTATCATCTTGCATTGGCGAATCCATTTGTAAATCGAGATGATGCGACACAAGCAAAAAAGCGTTGAAAGTAACCAATTTGGTGTTGGGTCTCAGTGCTCAGAGGCGACAGGGTGCTAGCTTGGCCGTGTTCTGACCGCGGACAATCGAAATGCAGAACCCCTCGCGTACCTCTATCTGCTCTCGTTGTTGCACAAACAACCCAATTGGGTTTGTCGCGTCACTGTCTACGAACCAATGGGATCAAGTATTAGGCATTTCAAGACGTCATTTTCGTAAATACTACATAAGTCGCTTCATGCCTTTGGCACCAAGTCCATCTGTACCGACTCGGAGCAGGATGGTGCTGTGTCATAACCTTCTACCTCTACAAGTTGGTGAGGTAGTCCTCAACCTCGGACGGGCTCAGCTTCCTGAACCGCGGTCCGACGGCACCTTCGACACCCTCAGTGCCAAGGAGCCTCTCCTCTGGTGGTCCGACAATGCCAATCTCAACAGTCTCGCCGTTCATCTCTCCTTCTATGGTCTCCTTGAGAGTAAGCAGGGCAATGTGGATAGCGTCCTCGAGCTCGAGACCGTCGGTGTACCGCTTCTCCAAGAAGGTCTTGGCGCTTGTCGCGCTCTTTCCTATGGCCGTAGCCTTCCAAGGGAAATAACTGCCGCTGGGGTCGACCTGGTAGAGACTGGGTCCGCCCTTGAGGATTCCACCAGTCTTTCCGCTGACCTTCTTCTTCTCTTCGCTCGTCTGCTCTTCGCTCTTGCCTTCAGCCTCCGGCTCGATACCATCATCCCATCCAGCAATCAGCAGACTGACACCGTACGGCCTGACACCACCAGACTGTGTAGCCTCCTGCATCACTCGCGCCACATCTTGTACTAATATCCTTGTAGGTGGGTATTCGTTGTAGACGCGCTTGTAGCCGGTATGTGAGACCTTGCGAGCCTTGTCGACGAGAACGCGGTAGTCAGGACCCATGCCCGAGTAGACCATACCGATGTTGGGTGTTATGAGACTGATCTTTGAAGACGATTGCGAGTCGATGAGCGGCGATGACGATTTCTTCTCGGTAGCGAGGACAATGCCGTTGGTGGCTGCGAGCTCTAGTCAGCGCTGTTAGGGGGCTAATGAACGATATAACGCACCCTTGATTCCTAGTGAGGTAACACCCTGGTTGACGGCGTTCAAGGCATACTCTGTTCAGGTATTAGATGCGGTCTGCTACAAGAAGGCGGGAGTCGTCATATCCCTGGGCCGCGTACCGATTTGTACCAGCTTTCCGCTACATGAATGTTAGCAAACATGTCGTGCGTAATCGATAGCGCAGTGTTTACCTGGGGGAGAAAGTGGTGAGGGAGAAGGAGTATCGGTCCGCCATGACGGTTGCTTGACAGAATCTAGAGGCGGTATATAGGAGGGGGCGTAGTCGGCGGCGGGAAGACGTTCAGTGGGGTTGGTAGACGACGCGGGTACTGGAGGCGATCTGCTAGAGCTCCAGGCTACCCAGAGCTTCGTCGCCGGAAGCGCCAAGACCGGCGCTCGGCGTAACCGCAGCTCCGGTTTGTCTGAGGAAGCTGCAACCCCGAATTCTTTGAGCTTCCAGAACTGCTCCTCTACATCACCACCACGTTTACAACATCCTGCCACCGTGTCCCTAGTGTCATACCGCCCAAGGAGGCGGTGTCGGAACATGATCCGCACTACCGAGACACTTAAGTTGGCGAATGTCTTCCCCGCGGCTTCCTGATTGATCACTTCGTCATCTCATGCCTACCCACATGCTATATTACTGGTAAGAGCTGCATTAACCTCCGCCTTGTACCTTTACAGTTTCACACCCCGCTATGTCTTCTTCGTCCGGATATCAGGCCATGCCAGGCTGGTACTGGCCTGATGACGCGCCCAAGACAGAACCCGCCCACGCGACATCCTCCTCCACAGGTTCCACATCGCAATCGCCACCTTCAGCCACCTCCAATACTAGCGACAACTCTTCATCGCAGTCGCACAACTCAAGACGTAGCCACTGGCCGCCCAGACAATGCAGAATCTGCCTCGAGACAGTTCAGCCGACATTCAATGTTCCCTCACAAAGCCTTCCTGGCTTCTTACAGTCGTCCAACGTTGTGTACGAAGATGAAAGTGGCCGTCTGATCCGCCCATGTATGTGTAAGGGATCATCCAAGTACGTTCATGAAGCTTGTTTGCAAGCTTGGAGGCATGCAGACCCTAGCTATGGGCGTAGGAACTACTGGCAATGTCCGACTTGTGGCTTCAAGTACCGACTTGCGCGTTTAGGAGTTGGGCGTTTCATAGGCAGCGCTGGTATGTATTCCTATTCACTTTAACAGAGCAGTGCTAACATGAACTACAGCTGCTCAGGTTGGTTTGACTGCCATTATACTGATATCCATCGTGTTCATCCTCGGCTTCGTTGCAGATCCTATCATCAACTTGTATCTGGACCCATGGAGCTTTTTATCCCCCTTTTCCTCGTCGGAATCTGACTACGCTTATTACTACGAGGATGAGTCGGCCACTTGGTACGAGCACTTTGCGAAAGGCTTCGCTAGCATGGGTGTGCTTGGTTTCTTGAAAGTCCTCATCGCCAGTCCACTATCTTACTTCAGGATTGGAGGCGGTCGAGGTCGGACGACTGGTCGAGACAGATATGAGCAGGTCAGCTGGATCATCATCCTCATCGGTGTTGGCACATTCCTAGCGGTACGTGGAAAGCGATTGGCATTATTGTGCAAATGCTGACAATGACCAGGCAGTATACAAAGGAGTCCGTGTATGGAGTCGCCGAACGCTTGAGAAAGCTGGCGAGCGTGTCATGGATGTCCAAGGTGACAATGACGACGATGACGAATAGCCATGACTGAGATGCATGCAGTCGCTGTTCGGTTTTCCTCCACTCAATGCTTGGTTCTACACTTTCCAAATCCCGCACTTTCTTAAATTGCCACAAGTTATTCCTCAATACTGTGTCGATTAGTCTACGTGCGAAGATCGAACCAGCCCACGACCTCCATATCGACATTGCGCGTTTTGTGCTCGTCGGCCTTGTGGAACGTGGAGCTACTTGCCATTGGCACTCATTTCGTCTACCTTGCCTGCTCCTGGAGCTTCCCTCTGTGGCTTGAACGAAAACAGGCCTTTGGCACATCTTATAAAGACTTGTAATGAATTAATTCTTGGGAATCACAAATGAAATCGCGCGCCCCCTTCATCACTTGTCAGTGACGCTGCCATCTATGGATCCCAAATAACGCCGTGGGGTATGTACCTCAGCTAAGATGTGCTGCGAAGCCTGCCCGTCTATAATGGCATTGCTCTGCGATACCATACGCCCAAACCAAACCAAACCAAACTATACCAATCCGATCCAACCGTGAACAAACGAGAAAACGTACAATACAATATGTAGGCCCAGGGTATCAATGTAGAATATTAAAAGCCACCTCTTCTCTCTCTCTTTTTCCTTCATCTAGTGATCGCCTAAACCGGGCTTACCACCCTTCATAAAGACACGCTTGGTCGCACCAACCTTGCCTAAATCACCAAATTCTGTCTTCTTTCCTCCTACAGCGCTGCCAGGGCGGCTGTCACTCCTACTGTCGGTGCGCTCGAAATTTGGATGGCTTGAGGTAATGACGTTGCTACTCACGGTGCGAGCCTGCTTCATCATGCCCTCAATCCACTCCAGCTTCTCGCCGCTGAGATCTAATTTCTTGGCTGATGGGCCCGCCATTCCGACTTCCCTACCCTGCCAGGAACTGCGAGACGAAGTTGTCGAGGGTATCGCCGGGTCTTCAGTGGTGGCACCTGGTGTTCCAGGAAGGAAGCTGGGCATCGGCGGTGGCGCTTCGTCGCTTGTAAAGGCTAGACCAGATGACTTGACGGGTGTGGTGGATGGGCTGGCCAGGGGAAAGCCAACGCTGATGCGTCTTTCCATCTTACTCGCCCTGCTGTCAGGTCTCGTCGGCGAACTATCGGGGTTCTTCACCTCCAGACCCAGTACCTCAAATTTGCCTTCGCTTGCTGTCCTGCGGCCGTGGTGCTCAGCGTACTGGCGCAGGTACTCGCCTAGGTCAGACCAACCACCGCCGACACGCACCATGACACGTTCGCCATTCTCGCCAACGCGGCGGATGAACAGCTTGATCGGCTGTTCTTTGCCAGGTTGTGTGAGATGATACAGTTTGATGTCGTTGTCGCCTCTCGCAGCTGCAGCCGACCTCCGTCCTGAAGCAGCGTTGTTCAACTCGAATTCAGTCTTTGCAGGGGACAGTGTGAGCTCAGGTGACTTGAGGCCGCTGACTGAGCGAGCTGCGCGTAGATAGCCACGACTGCTTTTCGCGAGAAGGCCACGCGCCGACTTGATTTCGGGCGCATCGGGGCCTGGGCCTGACCTAAGCCTAATGTGAGCGGGAATAGTCGTGAGGATGTCGGAGATCTTTCGCTCAAGTTCTTCAGCGCTGTTGTTAGCTTTCTGAGCAAAGTGCGTCGGTGGCCATGGAGCGCTTGATGTGTCATCAGCAGTGGTCTTGACTGGCCGACGCTTCGCCATGGCTGCATTCAGTTCAGGACGTGGCGCTCTCATAGAACGGTTAGTGGCGTTTCGGACTGAAGGAGACTCCTCGATGGTACTAGGTGGGCTTGAATCAGGCGACATATCTGTGGACAGCGAACTAAGGCTGCCTCTCCATGATCGCGGCGTTTGAGGAGGCTCCATAACGGGGCTGTCCTGTCCATCGTTCTTTGTAATCGTGGGATTGCCGAAAAGCGCCAGAGGTTTGGGCCTGCCTTGTAAAGATGCTTGGGATGAATGGTCGTCAGTCTCTGTATGGATGGCGACTTCTTCGGGGCCTTCATCAAGATCGTACTGTACAACAGTGTCGCCTTCTTCGAACTCCGAGTCTTCGTCAACAGAGGCCGGTCCTGGTTCGAAGCTCATCTTCTCTAGATGTGTGGTCGCAGTAGGGGACTTCGATGGTGACGCGAAACCTTGTGCCAGCTCGTGTTCGGTAACATAGGTCTCACCCGAGACTTGTCGTGCGTTGCTGGAGCCGATGGAGGTATGAAGTGTTGAGTTGCTGCTGCTCGATGCGTTCATGGCATAGTCTCCAGAGAAGATCCCACGCTGGGGCGCACTGAAGTAGTCATCCTGCATGGCGTTGTGGCGGCTGCTCTGCGAAGCAAGCTTCGGTGGCGGCGATTGGAGTGTAGATGCGACAGAGTCGATTCGAGCATTGAGAGCATCCAATCTGGATGTAGTAGCGGATTGCACAGCCGCAGTGGGTGCGACAATGGACACATCGTTACCAGCATTGACTGATGAGGATGCTGTTGTCAATACCCGCTCGCCGCTTGTATGCGCAGTCGTACCCGCATCGGCCTCTGGTTGTAGCGCAGGTTCAGGGGCGCCCTTCTCGGTAGTGTTAAAACCTTCCGCCCGTCTCCGAACCTCGAGATCGATTATCCTCCTTCTTGATTCGTGTTTCCATTGCCCATAGTCAGCCTCTGTCGTTTCAAAGACGTCTATCCAGTGCTCCGGTAGACTGTCCTCTTGTCCTTCGAGTGTATCGAGCATCTTGTCTAGTTGCCTCCCCAAGTCGCTGACCTTCTGATGAAGCACAAGCGATATGGTATCTACTGCCTTTTTCCACTGCTCAAATGCAGCGTCGGACGTGTCTGCTGGTGCCTCGATGGCATCCCAGCCTAGCCGCATGGCTTCTTGCGCCGTATCGAGTTCGCCGGTGTAACGCGGGGCTTCGCGGAGGATGGAGACGCGGGCGGTCCACGTGCTTAGGCGGGCTTTGAGCTGGGCGTGGTGCGGTAGGGCGGATAGGAGGGTCTGGGTGATGAGAAAGGAGAAGTCGTCCATGACCTTGTAGTGCTGGCGGTTGGCCTCGTAGCCCGCAGAGGACGGCCTCGACCTGCCTGCCGGGTGCATATCCAGCACGTGCTCCTTCAGCTCTTCGACGTCAAGCTTGAGCATCTCGTCGGCGATGTCGTCGAGGCGCGCCTCGTGTTGCTCCACCTCGACCGACAGCATCGAACCCCAGTATTCTAATGGCGGCATGACATTGCCCATGTCGGAATCGGCGACGTGCTCCTTGATGCGCAGCTCGATGCTTTTCCTCCTCTGCTCGCGGACCTGGGCGCTGGGCTGCTCGAAGCTGCCCGACCACCCCCATTGCTCAATCTCGGCGCACCATATCTTCAGCCGCTGCGCAGCCTTTGCGACGCGCGATCCCAAGTCTCTCTCGGCGGCGGTGAGGGTCTCGATGCAGGAAAACATTTTGTATTCGTCGCGTGTTGTGTCGAACGGCATGGGCTTTTGTGTGAAGGCGCGGAGGGTCGTCTCGGGCGACAGGTCGCGGAGGCGGGTCTCTTCCGAGCTGCCATACGTTCTGCCTCTTCTGCCGGCGGGCGACATGGCTGGTGATGGGACGCGACGGGGTGTGAGGGGCGGGATCATGCGCATAGGCGACCGAAAGACGTCCATGATGGCGGTTGGTAAAAGTTGAAAGAGCGACTGGTGACAAGGAAGGTACAAAGGAGAAGAGTCTCAGACAGAGAAGGTGCGGCTGGCTTTGTCGCTATCAATGCGACGGTCAGTGGTTCGTATCCTTTGTCTCCTTCCTGTTGCCGTCGTGTTTGCGCTGCCGGCAGCCCAATGTTTATTGACTGACGCAGTCTTCGCCGAACATCTTGCGCCGTGCACTCTTGCATTGGTTCACCCGCCATTCGATATGACTAAGCCCAAAAGCGTGCTAGCTGTAGATCACTTTCGGACTCGACTCCTGCGCCCTCACCAACATTGCGCGTTATCGCATTGAGATGGTACCTTGATGGACCGCAGAAAACGTATAACTGAGATGCTCCGCTCATTGTTCTTGAGCTCTAGTTCTGTCTCTTCTACGCTGCCAAGTGCATCGCGGAATAAGGACGCGCCCATCACGCGTCTCCGCACTCCCCCGCATTCAACTTCACCCGGCCATCCTCTGCTCTGTGCCGTCTACGCAGAACCATATCATACTTTCCACCACCGTTACTTTTCTTCGGACGGCTTTCGGGTCAGCCTCTGGCGACGTGCACGGAACGGCGGCGTCGGTATGCGCGCTTTTCCGATCTGCTATCTGACCGTCAGATTTTGACCGCAGAAGATACGTGCATCGAAGCGGCATCTCTTCCTCATTTCAGAAGCTACCCCACCACCTATATCGTCATTGCTCTCTGCCAAGCACCTTAATGCTCCGCCCCGCGTTCATATCTCTCTGACCTTCCAGAGTGCGTTAGCCAATTGCCTGTATACCTCGTGGTTACGCAGTGCCTGCGTCCAGCTACAGCTACCCGCATGTCGGGATACGATGGCACGAAAGAGCAGGGAACTCGCCAGGCTCACCTGCTCTCAGTAGAAGCAGCTATTCTCGGAATGGAAACCTTGACGTTATCGTACCGAACGCCGACGGAACTGCCTGCAAGTACTTAAACTACCATGCGACCGACCGTTGTGCAGTACCCTTCTGCCTCTGTGAAGTGTGCATTTGTCAGTCAATATGAGAACGGCACTTCTAGCGCTCGCTGCCATTGGCGCTCAAGCCTGCCAGCGTGAACGGGCATTCTTCCATCACCCGCATAAGCATGTCAAGAGGCAATCTGTCTTTCCTCCAGCATTGACACCCAATGAAGAGATCTTGCTGAACTCGTTTGATTCCGTCTCGATATCGGAATGGTCATACTACTACAGTATGGCTCCCAGGCCCGACACAGACTGTATGCTAACAAAACGCAGCCCATGGCCAGCATTTGGCCGGTCAGAACGAGTCAATGGGTATTTGAAGCCTTTCCGGGTCGATCCGACATGCAACTAATCCTTGACACAGCACAGTGGACGGCTGACAAATGGTCCGAATATGGCTTCACGTCAAGGCTCGACGAATACTGTATGAAACCGATGATGGTCGTCGCGGCAGGCACTAACGAGACGCAGATGTCTTCCTTAATTATCCTGTATCGAACTCGCTACAGCTTACCTATGCCAACGGTAGTACTTACACCCCGACCCTCTTGGAAGATGTACTGGAAGAGGACGAGACCACGAGCTATCCCAACAGTGTCCCCGTCTTCCATGGCTACAGCTTCACAGGCAACGCATCTGCAGAATACGTTTACGTCGGAAGAGGCCAGCAGGTCGACTTTGACCGTCTCGAAGCTCTTGGTGTCGAACTTGAGGGCAAGATCGCTCTAGCAAAGTACGGTGGACCATTCCGTGGGCTGAAAGTCAAGAATGCACAGGATCATGGCATGATCGGTGCTGTGATCTTCACCGACCCTGGTGATGACGGCAACATGACTGAAGGTGAGCTTGTTTCACCTCTTCCCAGAACTACCCATTGACAATATTCAGCGAAGGGAGTGGCTCCATACCCCTACGGCGGAGCGAGGAACCCTTCAACCGTTCAACGCGGATCTGTCCAGTTCTTGTCTACGTATCCCGGTGACCCAACCACTCCAGGTTACGTCTCCAAGCCAGACTCCCCACGCGCAGATCGCACCGACATCACCCCGCAAATTCCATCACTGCCTATTTCCTGGATCGAGGCTCAACCGCTTCTCCAAGCCCTCAACGGCTTTGGGACCAACGGCACCGAGGTCAACAGGACGCGGTGGGTTGGTGCTATCCCCGGCGTAGACTACTTCACTGGCGAGGGATCCGGCGCATCGCTTTCAATGAGCAATGTAATGAACGACACCTACGGTACCATCTGGAACGCAGTCGGCATCATCAACGGTACGAACCAAGACGAGGTCGTCATTGTGGGCAACCATCGTGACGCTTGGATTGTTGGCGGTGCTGCTGACCCCAACTCCGGATCCGCTGTACTCATCGAACTTGCCAAGGCATTCGGTGCTCTTGCCGAGACAGGTTGGAAGCCAATGCGAACAATCGTTCTTTGCAGCTGGGACGCCGAAGAGTATGGTCTTGTTGGAAGGTAAGACTAGAAAATTACATGAACAACCAGTGTACTAAATACTTATAGCACTGAGTGGATGGAGGAGTACATCCCTTGGCTGAAGAACGCCGCAGTGTCCTACCTCAACATCGACGTCGCTGTCAGTGGACCAATCCCAGACGTTTCCGCAACCCCAGACCTACACGCCATCGCCACCAGCCTGATGAAGAAGGTCGTGTACCCCTACCGCAACGACACCGGTCTTACCATGTATGATGTCTGGTCGCACGAAAGCGGTGAAGTCGGTGTACTCGGCAGTGGTAGTGACTATACCGCTTTCCTCCACCGTGGTATCGCTTCCATCGATATGGGTGCTGGCGGAGGTCAGTGATATATCTGTACGAACTGTATATGAAACAGATACTGACTCCATACACCTATCTCTAGGTCCAAACGATCCCGTTTACCCTTACCACAGTAACTACGACTCCTACCACTGGATGGCCACGTTTGGAGACCCTGGCTTCGTCACCCACAAGGCGATGGGCCAGTTCCTCACTCTCCTCTTGTACCACATGGTATCCGATCCCGTCCTGCCCCTCGAGCCAGCAGACTACGTCTCAGAGCTGAACACTTACCTTGAAGCTCTCGAGACGGATATCAGCAGCAGCAACTTCACCGTTGACCTTAAAAACCTCACTGCCGCTATCACTCAATTCGAAACCTCCGCCCAAGAGTTTGTCGATCTAAGAGATCAAGCTGTTGCTGCGAATGACACGGAGCTCATCACTGTGCAGAACCACAAGGCGAGGGACTTCTCCCGGGGCTTCACTTCGCAGGGTGGACTGCCCACCAGAGAGTTCTATCAGCATACTATCTTCGCTCCTGGGCGCGATACAGGATACGCGCCTGTAACATTCCCGGGTATTACGGAAAGCATCACGTTTGATCAGGATGCGGAGTTGGCGCAGGAGTGGGTGCAGAAGACTAGTGATGCGATTTTGGTGGCTGCTAGTATCCTGAAGACCTAGAGAGTCGATCTAAATGCAATACTGCGATGACGAGTTCGGTGGTAGTGGAGGGTGGAGGAGATACCCTAGTAAAGGCCTTGATAAGGAAGAGATAAGTCGTCAGTAGTAGAAAGAATAATGATAATGTATGCTGCAGACTCCAGACCTCACCTCTCGCTCTACTTCACAGTAGCAAGCAAGAACCCATCATAGGACTTCTCCCCCACCGTCTGCAATACCACACCATCCAGCCTCTCATCCTTCCCCACATTCTCCACCACCCTCTTCGCCCCCGCAATCCTCGGATCATCCGTCTCTTCCGCTAACTGCCCCTTCCGCACCACATTATCCACAATAACACATGCACCCGCCTCACACATACCCAGCGCTATATCCACATAGTTCCAGTTATTCTCCTTATCCGCGTCGATGAAGACGAAGTCGAATTTCGGCCTCTTGCCGTCTCTAACCTGCTGTGCCAGAGCAGGAAGAACGTCCATACCAGGCCCTTCTATGACGTCCACATTGTCTTCCAACCCCGCGGTCTGGATATTCGACCGTGCGACATTGGCGTGGTGCATATCGACTTCGACGCTTATTACTTTTACGTTGGGACTGGATGTTGCGAGCCAGATGGTGCTGTATCCGCCCAATGTGCCTACTTCGAGGATGTTTTTGGAACGTGCCAGGCGTGCGGTGAGTTGGAGGTATTTGCCTTGGGAGGGCGACACGGCGATGTCTGGCAGGCCTGCTTGCTGGGAGGCGTCGAGGGCGTGTTGGAGGGCGGATTGGGATGGGGATATGCGCGTGGAGGGGTGGAGGTGGCCGAACGAGTAGGTGTCAACCGCTGTCCATCGCGGGTCTTTTTCGTGGGACTGGCCTGGCTGCGGCATAGTGAGGATGCTGTTAGAGCCTCAGATATGGAAGTTAGTTGATGGTTAGTTACGCGCTCTGGATGCGCGAATTAACGCGTCTTTATAGATAAATCATGTCGGTTCAGTCGGGCATGCCAGATGTCACTCGTATCTCATAATGCATCTGCCTAAAGAGCATTGAGCAATCATTGGATAGCATCGAGGCGGGGTGGTGGAAGAGCATTCAACCAGCTCGCGGAAGCTTGCAATGGGGCGATCTGATAAGCACAACTCCGAGCTTCGATCTCCGATATCGCCGAGCATACGCAAGCAGTCCACAAGGCAAGCACGCAAGGCAAGCACGCGAAGCAAGCGACACCAACAGAGGGAAAGTAACGATTGTATCATTCAATACGCCTTCGCCATCTCACCTACATACTCATTGATCGTCTTCCGAATATCCACCTTCTTCACAGCCTGCAGGTCCTTCAACCTCGCGTGTGAAGCTTGGTGCGCGAGCCGTCGCGCTTCCGGGGGCAGGGGCGGAAGTCCTTTGTTCACGTCCAGCGACGTGACACGCGTTACGTGATTCAATGGGCTAGGCCTGTACGGCTGGTGGAAACCATATGGCATGATGTTGGTGGAGTGAGTGCTGCAAGGCCTGGGTCTGCTGAAGCTAGAGTTGTGACTCACTCTTTGGGACTTCGTGTCGCTAGGCACGCTTTGGCTTGCGCGATGGCTGTTGAGATTTCGCATGGCGTTGAGGATGTGAGCTGAGGTGGATAGATCTGGTTGGGCGTTCGACGCGTCGGCTTGTTCCCTGAACGCAGGATGGCATTCGTTGGCTGGTATCTGGCTCGCGCCAGAAGCTCGCAACTTGGTATTGGAGAGTTTGGCTTGCAACTTCTGGTCAAACTTCCCCACCAGAGTGGTGTTCATTGTGGAGTGGGATGTTGTTCTGCTGATTCGCTTCCAGAGGCCTACAGAAGATTCCTTAGGACCTGGTGAGTTTGGTCGTGTGTTTTCTTGGAGGCTGTCGTATTTTCTCTTTGGCCTCAGCCAGGATAACATGGTAGGTCTCATCCTGGTCACCTGCATGCCGATTTCCGCTTTCGAAAAGTCGACTGAGTCAGCTGATGAATCGGATGAGAAACATGATCGGGATATCTCATGGTCTTCGCTGGAACGTCGCTCATCAGACTGGTCTAGATCTTCGACATCATCCTGTCTGAGTGCCTGCTCCGTCGTTCCATCGATCCTCACAGTCTCTGGAGGATTTGGGGGTTGAAGTGGACCGTGGTGGCAGACGTCTATGCCGTTGGTCTTAAGAAGTTCCGCTCCGCAGCTTGGCTCACTGGACTGGACTCTGTCGTTTTCACCGCCGCTCGTTGTTGACGCATGCCCTTCTTTCCCAAGGGTCGACACGTCCCATTCAACAACCCCCGATCGACGTACAGAAACTCGCCATGTACTGTTGCGCGCGTCCAATTCGCCGACAGCTGTAACCTTTTCTTCCGCGAGATCGTTCTCCGGGAGGTTGTCATCATCGGGCACATATCGCGATACAAGCTCTGCAATGTCGTCAAAGCTTAGGTTCTTATTGCGGAGCAGGTAGGAGAACCTGAGCCAGTCCAAGTCGCTTGTCGGGCCGAGGGTGACCACCATTGGCGTGCGTGGTGCGTCAAGATGAAGATCTTGGAGGTATTCATGTGGCTTCCCTGTCTCCGTGCCGGTGCACTTGTCGCTCTTAGGCTTCAGCGTCGTGTCCTTGTGGACCTCAAAAGCACTATCTTTTCGTCGGCGGCCCCCGCCACAGGATTTGCAATCCGCCCAGCACCCAACATCTTCACTATCGCCGCCTCCCCGAAGAGGCCACATGTCGCCGAAGGTGTGGACAAAGGGCGAAGGCGAAGATGCCGGCGAGTCCACCTTGCGACGACCATCAAGAAATCTCACCACTCTGATAGAGTCATCGTCGTTACTGACGATCTCATTCATCAATGGCCATTGTTCCTCCTCTTCCCCTCCACAACAACTGATGCGTTCCAATTCTTTCAGTGCAGCCTCGAACCCTGATCTAGCCTCACTGAGCAATCCTCGATCGGGACGCATCGTCTCTCCTTGGTAGACCGCTACGGATCTCACTCTTTCTCCTTTGCCGCTCTCTTGCATCTTGCAATGCTCTTCACGTAATCTGATTGCGCACGGTTGGCACCGCACCAGCGTGTATGTGGGCCAATCTTTACTCTGTCCCTCGACTTGGTTTGGATCAATGACTGTATGTAAGACTCCCTTCTGGTCAGCTGGCTTTGAGACTTGAACGAACTCGTCAGGATGACCGCAGATATAGGCACGGCGGAAAGCGTATGGATATGCTGGGGGTGCAGCTATGTGAGTCGTTACAAGCTCAGTCTGCACTGCTACTACTAGTGGGTTCTTATCAGCCATGACTCCTGGTAGATAGTGGGGGTTTTGCCGCGGTACTACTCGGGAAATAACAAGAGTGAGGAATGACACATACAGTTGGATGTTGGTGTTGCAGTTTGTTGGCCACGCGGTCACTATGTTCGGGGCCGATACAACACGATTGTGCCACCTCAACGACAACGACGCACCGCGCACCACCGTGACATAACAGTCAGTATGAAGAGCGGATTTTGCAAACATTTGAAGATGCAGCGACGTCAGTCGTCTTTGTGAGGCGTCGACGTTACGCCACACATCTCGTTCCGTCGATTTAGCGTCGTTCGGGATCACCGTGACTAGGGCTATGTAAGGGTTGAAAGGCTTTTCATTCAATGCTATTGAACCCGCCGTGGCAAAGTTCATTATTACGCTGTAACAGGTAACGCCATATCACCATGTCCATCTTTGTGACGCATCCGTCCCCCGGATATCGGATGTGCAAATGACGCTTCTCCAAAACAATAACGCCGCGCTTGCTAAATGACCAGAAAATTACAAGAAGATCTAGAACAACACCGTTCTCGATAACAACCTACGCACCCTACGCACCCTACGCACCGTAGTTTTGTCCCGTACTCACGGCTGCATATCCGGCTGGCGCGTGACCCATATATCCCTGGGGGGCCAGCGGATCGTGGCTTGACATCGGGGGGCTCGTTATCGGCGGAGTAGCAAGCGGCTCCATAGCGTAGCTTTGGGGCCGCGAGTGGTATTCTGTGCTTTGTGCCGTAAGTGGCACCATGTCTTCGGGTCGTGTGCTCCACCGTGCCGTATTGCGCATCTCTTCCAACCCCGCGTCGTGCGGCACATGCCCGTGTGCCGCACCCGTCTCGTGCACGGATCCATGAGGACTATGTCCGTGTCCATGGTGTCCGGGCTCTTCATACTCCAACGCATATGGCTTTCCGCTCTTTTGGAGTTTCCAGTTGCAATAGAGTGAGCTTAGCTTGTCGCTGACTAGGATGAGGAAGAGGAATACGACGCAAATTGGTAGGAGCGCAGGTGACTCAATGACGGCATGTAATCTCTCTGTGTCGGCCATGAGAGCCAACATTGCGCCCCCAACGCCGAGGGTAAGACTGCGGGATATGATGGACGTAAAGTCGAAGAGGTCGGCCTTGTGACGGCGAATTAACAAAAGAAATATGATCAGACAGAAGAGAAGGAGGCAGAACGACGACCAGAAGTAGAGATAGACGAGCTCGAATCCTTTGAGACCGACCTCGAGGGGACTGTAGTCCTTCAGTTTGTCGACTGGTATCTTCATGCCGAGACCAGTGTATAGGCCGTTGTTGAGAAGGTGAGATACGTTCTTGAGTGCTCCGGGCCAGTCGTCATCTTCCTCGCCCATGTTGTACTCCGTGGTGTTTTGCTGAGAGCAGATGTTTGTAGCGTTACCGACACTCCAGATGGCCGACTGAGCTTGATTGTAGAAGCTCTTGGTCTCATACTTGCTGTCGAGCTCGAAATACTCCAAAAGGTACTGCAGCTTGTCTTGCAGTTTTTGACCGTCAAGATGATCCGTTTGGCAGTATTGGAGGATGGAAGTAGTAACTTTCCTGGTATTTTTGGCAACGTAGCGGGCCAGAGCAACTTGCTGCGAGCCTTCCACGACACCGACAATAGCAAGTTGGAAGGGAAAATGTAGCAGCGACCATATCTGTTGGCGGATGGTTCCGTAGTGACCGTGGGGAAAGTTGTCAAAGTACCTGAGTACTGTTAGCTCACATGCGTCATGTCTTCCATACCTGCATATACTTACAGAGCCCAAATCAACACAAGAACCACGATGATGCACATGATTAAGAAGCATCCCTCGACTTCCAATCCATGCTTCCCCATCATCCTGCTAACTGTCTTTGTGACACCAATTGCACCCTCGCCAATGACGATGATCGTCAACAAGCTCATGCGCTCCATCAAGTGGGTCTTTTTGAAACTCATCATGCGCCAGAAGCACGATATAGCAACGACTGCGATGGCTTCAAGCACCATGACGACGTACCAAACAAGGTAGACTAGGCGTCTACGATGATCGCCATCAACCTTGAAGGCGGGTGTCATGCCAGCGAATGCACCCATACCGATCGCATAGACGGCGAACATAAGAATGATCGGGAGGTAGATCTTGGTATACTTCGCTCTCCAAGTGAAGAAGAGCACCACAAGATATTGGATGGCGAGAAGACCACGGCTTATGACTAGGGTGTAGCATAGGATGCGGAAGTTCTACGTGGCTTAGTATACCTTTTCCTCAATATGGGTAATAGACTTACAGTGTTGTTTCCTTGACCTTTCGCGCTCGCTGGGTTGAACTGGCTTCCGACTAGCGCCAGACCGACAAAGACGATGAATTGAATCGTCTTGCACACACGCTCATAGAGCGAGTCCCGCGCAAACCGTACATCGTGAAGTGTGATCTGGAACCAACACGACCACAATATGCCAAAGAAACCGATGTATGCCAGCAGATAGTCGATGTCGGTAATAGAGTGGTAGGCCGTAAAAGTCGCAAGATTGGCAACAAAGAACAAATCGAAGAAAAGTTCCACGCTATTCGCTTCGTGCCGTTGAGAGAAGACGAGGTGTTCGTGATCGGCACCAACTAGCGGGGATTCGATAAACGGTGTTGTCTTGTGCAGCCGTCTAAGATGCTTTTCCGCATCAACATCGCGTTTGTGGCCGTGAAAAGTCCAGCCCATGATGCCAATTTCCCACAAAGTCGACGAGAAACAACCACAACTCAACTCCAACGGTCAGGAAAGGAGCAGCGAGGTTAAATCAAAGACAGACGGACAAGACTACCAAGACAAATACGAGCTGCCTTCGGCGCCGCAGTCAGTCTTATGCAAATCCCAATTCGCATACTACACGCGACACGAGATAGCCCCGCAAGCTATGGCGCATGTTCTATCTTAGGCTGGAGGCCCAGGCCAGCGAGTACGGTTCCGCCTTGAGTCCGCTAGCAACGGTACCAATAGCACCGCATAGCGGCGTGTTACACGGTGGGCGCTGGCGGAGCACGCATGGTGGGTTAGGTCGTGCTAAGCCGGAGGAAGCTTTCACCACCAAGCCTGCGCGGGTCGGGCTCAGCAGCAAGCCAGCGCAACAATGCTGACAGCGCTATCGTGAATCGGAAGAGCACAGATGCTGGAGTACTGGTTGTAGCGTACGTCGGTCCAATCATTGCCTCCACGTGAGGCTTGGCGCGCTGGTGTGTCGAATTAGACGGTGTGGAAGATAGGAGAGTCAGCTCAGCCCTGGGATCCGTAGACGGGCCGCTAGCGGTGCAGGCGTCCAGCGTCGAGTCTGTGGCGGAGGTGCCTCGCCAGCTAGCCTCTTCGTAAGACGAAGTCATCGCTGCAGCTGTTGAAACGCATCTTTTTATCGTGCATTGGTAGAGGTGCTGCAGTAACACTCGTACGCAGCTCACGATCACCCGTCCGCAGCCGGTCAGCTCGGCGTTCTGCGTTGCCTCTACGGCGCCTTTTGCATCCACAACCTCTTTTCGGCAGCTATCAAACCTCACCAAGCCGGCGTTGCGCAGATATCACTTCCTCCTCGCTCCCGGTCTTACACGTCCCACTCACCCTCAGAATCTCACAATACTGGGCCGAACGTGGTACCCCGTGGTCCAGAGGTGCATGCTCATGCACCTCACGCCCCATCTCCAACAGCTCGCCTGATGTGCTTACATGAAGCCCGCTATTTGCAGACGGGAGGAACCGCAAATATAGCCATTCTGGCCCTCGTTCAGAAAACATACCGAGCTTGCCTCACCCATGGAATAATCTCACAGATCGGCAAGTGTCCTCCGACTTGGAAAACGTTGTTTGCCTGTAGTCACCGCAACAATCACAACGGATGTTCAAAGAATAAAGATATTGTATTGGCTGAAACCACAACCAGCAAACGATTTCTAGATCCGCCATTTGAACGCCGCGCTGATAGACAAGGTTTGAGGGGCCTAAGCCATGCAAGTATGCTGTAAAATGCAACAGGTACGATGAAGTCTTCACTTCCGTATCAGACCAGTCCGTTCATTCGCGCCCTCGCCAATTTCCTCTTCTTCATCTTCGTCTTCGCTATCATCTTCGCTCCACCCTTCGGCTTCCAGTCCATCGCCACGAATACCGAAGCTGAGGAGGAAACCGAGGAGTGCGATTCCAGCGAAAATGCCAAAAGGCAAGGCTTCACCTTTGGGCTGCAGCTTGGTAGCGGCTGTGAAGAGCGAACCTGACACGAATGGCCCAGCAGCGCGACCAGCAGCAGAGAGCGTCTGAGCGAGGCCGTTCAGAGTACCGAGCACGTTGTGATTGGGTGCGGAGTTGGTGATCTGCACAACGTCAGCATGTGAAAGGTGTCTTGTCAGGACTCGAGTAACTTACCATAAGGAGTGCAGCTGTCAGGCCACCGACACCTGCAATCGTCTTGATAACCAACACAACACCGAGCTCAAACCACAACCACCCAGCACCCGTGCCGATGCCCTTGTATCCATTGCTTTCTTTGTATCCAACGAATGGCATGAGACCGAAGGCTGCAATAAACAGCCCCAAGCTGACTCTGTATGCCATCTTGTTGCCCATCTTGCCTCGAAGCCTGCCAAATATGCCCACCTGGAACAGTATCGTGATAGCGCCTGCGAATGACAGAGATAGTCCGACAGCCTCAGGCTTCAGCCCGCGTCCGGTAGGTGGTTGCTCTTCCGCGAAGATCGGATACAGTGAATTGTAGGAGATGTTAGCGAGTTGGAATATGAAGTACGTTATGAGAAGCAGGACTGTGTCCCGGTTCAAGATCTCCTTCCGTGTAAGTTCGTCGCCGCTACTGTGTGGGAATAGTGTAGGCGCAGATTCCCCAGAGGCGTCGGACGCGTCGTCGTCCTCGTCTACATCGTCCACACCACCGTGTGAGTTGTGGGTTTTGTGATTGCCTAGGAGGCGTCGTACGTAGGTAGGTCGCGTGGAGCTCGTGAACTGCCACATCCACGAGAACAGGTTGCCCAGTCTCTTTCCAAGAGGCGGTAGATTCTTAGCTTCCTCCAAACTCTCCTCCAAGAAGAGCATACACACTATCAGGTCAATCGCAAGGACGAGGGCCGAAAAGAGGTTCGGGAGGAGATATGGGTAGGGATTCGACTGGCTCTTGTTGAACGGGTTCTGGTAGAGCACCAAGAGTCCTCCTACGATCGGTCCCGTTATGCCACCGATACCGTAGACGACGGGCAGATAGGTGAATGCGCGCGATTGGTTGCTTCGATCCGTAATCTCGCCCAAACACGTCGACACAACGCCAGAATTTCCGTTGACCAAGCCCATCAGGGCCTGCACGAGTATAGCTTGCCAGAGCTCCCTGCAGAAGCCAAAAGCCAGAAAACAGCACATCGTCAAAAACGTGCCCGAGATTATTACCGGCTTTCGTCCGATCTTATCCGACAGCCAGCCCCAAAAGAAATTTGTTGTGAACTGTGCCAACGCGAAAGATGACGCGATGAGTCCGACGTATAGACCTGTCTGTCCATCCTTGACAGCGGAAAACGATTTCGTCATCTCAGGCAGATAAGGGCCTATTGAGTTGAGCGCCGTTTGCTCAGCCAGAGCTATGACAGCTAGCACGATGAGCTGCTTGGTCGGTAGGGGCGAATCATGGTGGGTATGGCTGCCGTCTTCGGAACGGTTGCCATCTTGACCGGACGGGGCGTCAGATGGTGGTCGGCCGCGGGATTTAGGGGGAATCGTTGGGAAGGTCGTATAATCTACATAGCGATGTACCAAGTCAGTATATATTCACTGGGTATTTCGTGTGGAGGTGTTGCCTACGGAGCGTTGACCTGCGCGCATCGAGCCCTGGCCGGTTGGATGGCATTGTCGCGGAATGTGCTACCTCAGTGAGGCCGAGTTATTACAGCAAGCTTTCGCATGCATTGGCGCAAGGCTGCTGTTGTCTATGTCGACACTAACGCGCGGGGCTGCACAAGAATGTCAGATAACTCTATAGGGGCGCGATTTGATGATGGGGTTCTTGAATGCAGGAGGCTGAAAGATGCAGTTTGCAGTGCAGATTTCAAGCTGGGATCACGCGCGGCTCAAGCTACGTCACTATCGCAGGAACCCGCTGGCTTGGCGCGAGATCTCCATCTTCGATGCGGCCTCGCGATCACGTCTCTGACTAATCAATGTCTTCTTCACATCTTCTCTTGTTGTCGACTTCCTCATTTGTCTAGACAGGTGCGATTGATCGATGCGCTGTTTGCGACTACCGTTGGCACCCCCAACGACCTCATAATCAGCAATACCACGACGCATTTCCATCTTGGATGACATTCGAGCCATGTTCGCATCATGCGAACGGGCCAGACGAAGCTAATGAGCGCGACACCGACGGTGTGCATGCCGACCGGCAGTAGAGGCTGGCAACCCAGGCACGGGGAGCCGGATGCAACTGTTCGAGGGCGATCGCAAAAAGAAAACATATAATAAACCTGTAGCGCGAATACCAGGGGTTGCGCTAGATATGTACCTTTGCTGTTCACTCAAAGAACTCTAGCTTCATGTCGCATCACTGGACGTGCTGCTGCTTGATCACCTGGTAAACCACGAACGAACACACGACATATCCAAGGACCCGGACACAAGAAAAGGAAACCAGAAGCAGCTTTCTTGGCATGCAGCAACATCAGAAATCCATGTTTCCCCACATTCCTTATTAATCACCGCAAGGGCTGACCGCTCGTCCTCAATCTATTACGCCCTGGCGGATCGCCAATGCCATTGGACACCTCGGGAACTTTAAAAGCTGACTGGCAATACAAGTCATCGGTGGATGCGGACTGTCAAGATGATCACCAGTCGCTTAAACCAGTGGAGTCAAAATGTTCGCAACTCGCTCATATCTTCTCAAACGTTGGTTGCCTTACGAAGCTGTTTGTTCTCGACATCGGAGGTGTGTGATCTTCGCATCCGCCTGATCCTCCTGTACCTCGATTACTGCTCGGCGAGGCTTATGAGCGCATTAGAACCAATACAACCATGCGACTTAGATTACACTGCAGCCAAAGTGCTGGCTCCGGGCATCCATGTGGAGATTTCGGTTTTAAGATGTTCAACAAAATTTGGAGTATAAAAAGTCTAGTGAATCCCTCATAGAAATGTCAAATAGTCAGAAGACCCAGTTCAGAGCCGCAGGTACACCGTGGTCTTTGTTTGAAGGCCTCTCTTCTACTTGGATCCCCACTTGGTTGCCGCTTCACATCTCCTCCTACTCCCTGACTTGCTACTTCTCGCCCACTCTCTTCTGGACCTCACTATATTCGCACCAGATCATTCTAAACATGCGATACTCCACCTTATTCCCGGCTCTATTGGCCATCCGCTCAACTCTTGCAAGACCGAGCCAACCCGATATCGCCAACACCACAACTTTACCCACTCACTTCGGTCTACTTGTATTTCCACACTACCAAGCTCTCGACATCTTCGGCCCCATGGACGTCCTCAACTCACTCTTCATGTACTACCGAAACACCTCCATTGTGCCGCAGTTTACAGTCTTCAGCAAGACCATGGATCCGGTGACATCGGCCATGACGGATGGAGGCTTTGGTCAGAAACTTTTGCCCACTATGACATTTTCGGACTATCTGGTGAGTTATGATGGTCGTGTGCAAGTGAATACGACTAATTGGAAGAAGAACAAGCAA